TTTATCCAGAATAATTCTTTCCATTCTTAGAATTTCGGATGAAGAACAGCCACAGAAACTGTCTCTTGCTAACACCTTCAATACTGGAATTCTCTATTCAAAGGAAGGTAAAGAGAGAAAAACAGGACAGAAAAGAAAATATTTATTTTGAATTTTGTTTTGGCAAGAAGAAAGCAAGTTGATAAAAGGAATTTTTTTTAACATTTCCTTCAATAATCTTGAAAGACAAATATTACCTCATCTTCTTCAACAGTCTTGGCAGCTAAGAAGAAACAGCTGATTGCAATACAGTTCAAATATTTTGGGTGGGCCTAAAATTTTGAAAAAGGAAAACAAATTTTAGAACAAAGCAGTAAAAATACTTCTATGAAACATGATTAATCTAACTTTTAACATTATAGCTCTAGGGATGTGAAACTTTACGCCACATTTAAATTCAGCAGAGAGCAGAGAAGAATGAGTTTAGAAGGCAATTTAAAAAAATGTAACACTTATCAAATTACAAGATATTTATATACATCTTATTTTTAAGCTAGCTTTATACTTTATCTGTTAACAAAGTATTACAAGAAAACATACTAGATGTTCACAAGATTAAGAAGAGAATATTAAAAGGTTATTCATACATTTTAAATGCTTAAGTAACATTTTAGGATGTTAGCAAACAAATTTTCTAACCATTAGGGGTCCACAAAATTGTACATCCAAGTTCCCTGGTAAGAATGAAAGCCTTTAGAAATGCATAAACTCTACTGGTTTCACAACAAAAATATCTTCTTGGCTTTGATACACTTTTTAATTCACCTGTTTTTCTTATATACAGTAAGGTAGACGGATTCACTCTTACAGGAGTGTTAAAACAGGTCAAAAGAATTTATCTCAATTACACTGAATGGCACATAAGTTAAGCTAGCTAACAAACAAAACAGTAATGGTTTTAACATGCCTATTTGTGAAAGTTTTCCAATAACCAGAGAATGAACTTGGTTAATGAACATTTAAACAGGTCCAGTAACCATTAACTGAATCGAAGAATCTTCCAATTTGCATCTACTTAAGTAAAAGCTGATGCAATAATTTTATCAGATTTAAATCAGTAATATTAATATGCATATTACAGTTTAAAGCACTTTCATAAATATTATTGTGTCTATTATGTAAGACAAGTCATGTAGAAAGTGTGAAGTCAGAGGAGGTAAAATTAGATCTAGTTAAGACTATTTTCCAGGCACTCTTATTTGTCTGCTCATGTGTTATAATCTGCAACTCCCATCCCCTACGGATGTTTAAATTCCTTATAAAATAAGAGCCCAACAGTTCAGGTAGGCAGCATAACCCCGAACCTCCACCATAAACAAGAGTACCAATAATAAATTTAGTAATAAAAAGAATCACCCAACAAATGTGGTTTTTAAAAAAGACAGTTTTCAATCCTTATAAATAACAATCACCTACGTAATTTAGTTTTGTTTATTTAAATACAGATCTTACCTTCTAAAGATTCAGAAGGTCTTCTAGAAATAGCACTTAAGTCTCTTTAACACACTGCCACACACTTTTTAAATTGACGACCGTGCTTAGAAACACTTTTTATTTCCTCTGATGTATTACAGTCATTTGCAGCAACGTGTTAATTAATTTTAACCTAAGGATTTCTTTTGAATACCTATGGGTCAGACTCCATTCCCTGTTTCAGATCTTTAGATGCCTTTATTAAAACTGTAAATACATTTTAGGTTAACTCTTTTGACTTAAATGAACTACTGATATGAACTACTGACTACTTCCATCTCTAAGTATACCCATTTGCTACTTGTAAATATGTCACAACCTGATACATACGAAGAAGTAAGATCTGGTAAAATTCTGTTTCCATAAGCTTTCTTGAATTCGTTTAAAGTAATAAGCTGAATAAGAAATATTTTTCTCCTTATTTTTTAAAATATATAATCCAGAAAAAAAGACTTTAAGCTTGAGCTCATCTTTTTCTGAAAATATATGTGTGAAATAGTTTAGTTATGGCAAAGTGATAGGGAAGAAGGGTGAACTTGATGCTGAAATAAGTTATACAACTCAGGTATCAGGTTACTTCTGCCATCAGTTAAGGATATTAGAAGTCTCTTGGGCTGGTAGCACAGTGGTTAAGCACTCAAGTTCACCAGCCACTTCATGAAGAAAGGTGTGGCAATCTGCTTCCATAAATATTTACAGCTTACCCTGGACACCCTATAGAAGTTCTACTCGGTCCTAGGGTTGCTATGAGTTGTAATCAATGAATCTGGTAAATTTCTTAAGAGAAAAGTTAAAAATTTTTTTAATGTCCTCCTCTATGTATTTACAGTACATAAAGTTGCTATGCATTAAAGCCAGTTTGAAAACACCTAATGTCAAAGTTTACACATTTCTAGGCATACAAATGACTAATTTCTTATGATGGCAATAAACAAAAGCTGACTTTTTTCGGTTTGATATATGTTGAGAGTCTGTAAGTTTGCATAACACAACTAATGATATACCAAAATGGGAGAATAAAAACTTATTGATTGTATTTGCATGCTGCCATTCAACAAAAGTAGACCAGAGATGACCAGATGTGTTTAAGTATATCTTAAAATGCTTACCTTTACAGTAGCTAAAAATCTGTCCAAAAGACTGCTAGCCAGAGCAAATGTTTCTGGGTAAAGGTTGAATTGGTACTTGAGTTTGGCCAACCACTGAATCACTTCATCTCTCTGGGATGGAGAAACATTCTATGAAGGTAGGGGGAAAAAAATTAAATAAAAAGAGCAAGTACATGTTACCATCTCTCTGGGATGAAGAAACCATTTATAATGGGAGAAAATAAAGAGTAAGGAATGCCTCAAGTTGTTATCAAGAACATGTTTAGACACTCAACAAAATAGGATCAGAGGGGAATTTCTTCAACATAGTAAAAAGTATATACTGCAAACCCAAGAGATAACATGTTTTCAATGGAGATAGATTAAAGGCATTTCCCTGCCCACTATCACCTCTCCTATTCAGTACTGTATTAGAAGTCTTAGTGATAGCAATAAGACAAGAGAGGCAAAGAAGAGGTATCCAAATTGACAAAGAGGAGGTAAAATTATCTCTATATGCAGATAGTATACTTAGAAAACCCTAAAGACTCAGCAAAAAAACTACTACATAGTTGACCAATTCAGCAAAGTGGCAGGATACAAGATCAACATACAAAAATCCACTGAATTTCTCTACCATGACAAAGAAAATACAGAACTGAAGCTAAGAAAAATAATACCCTTCACAATTGCTAATCACAAGATTAAATACTTGGGAGTAAGTAAATCTAACCAGAAGCACAAAGAATCTATTCAAAGGAAATTACAAAACATTACTACAAGAAAAAAAAAAAAAGAGACCTGGAGAAGTGGAAGAATATCCCTTGCTCATGGATAGGAACACTCAATATTGTGAAAATGACATTTCTACCAAAGACAATCTACAAGTTCAATGCTATACCAATCAAATACCAATTCCATTTTTCAATGAGCTGGAAAAGGCTATCTCCAATTTCATTTGGAATGGAAAGAGGCCCCAAATAAGCAAAGCACTCCTTAAAAAGAGAAAACAAGGTAGGATATATCTCACTCCCTGATTTCAAATCCTACTACACTACTGTGGTGGTCAAGACAGTGTGCTACTGGTACAATGAGAGACACAAAGATCAACAGAATAGAATTGAGAATCCAGAAATCAACCCATCTACCTCTTGGTCAACTGATTTTTGATAAGGAGATGAAATCAGTCAAGTGGGGAGGCAACAACAGCCTTTTTAACAAATGGTGTTGGCAAAATTGGAAAACTATCTGCAGACAACTCAAGCAAGATCCACACCTCACCCGATACACAAAAACCAACTCAAAGTGGATCATGGACCTACGACTAAAACCAAGGACTATAAACTTCATTAAAGAAAAGCTTGGAAGAACTCTAGAAGTCCTAATCCACAACATTAACAGTCTTCCAGGCATGCTGAAATATCTACAACTAGGAGAGGATAAATAGATGAATGAGGACTTTTAAGAATCAAATCCCTATGCATATCAAAAAACTTCTCCAACAGGGTAAAAAGGGAAGCCACAGATTGGGAAAAAAATATTTGGTAAGGACATGTCAGATAGGAGACTTACATCTAGAATTTATAAAATACTCAAGCACCACAACAAGATAAATAGCCCAATTGAAAAATGGACACAGGTATTAACAGACACTTCCCCAAAGAAGACATTCAGATGGCAAACACACATTCAGAAATGTTAAAAAATCCAAACAACTATGAGATATCATCTCACCCCAGTAAGAACAGCAAAATTTAACAGAACAGCAAACAACAAATGCTGCTTATTCACTGTTGGTGGGAGTGTAAAATGGTGCAACCACTATAGAAGGCTATATGGCACTTTCTCAAAAAGTTGCAAAAAGAAATACCATTTGATCCAGCAATTTCATTACTGGGAATATACCCTAAAGAAACTGTAACTGCCACCCAAACAGATAACATACACACACCTATGTTTATTTCAGCTTTGTTCACAATAGTAAAAAGGTTGGAAAGAACCCAGGTGCCCATCCATCAACAAACAAATGGACAGAGAAGCTATGGTATATTCACACAATGGAATACTATGTGGCAATGAAAAAAAAGGAACTCATGAAATATTACACAAAATGGGTGACCCTGGAGGACATTATGCTGAGTGAAATATCTCAATTAAATATCCCTTTAAAAGGGATATATGATTACATATTATTGTTATGACAGGAGTCTAGAACGAAGGTAGTATAGTGGAGTGGTCTTGGGGGAGGGACGGATAACAATGAAAGAATTTTTTCTTTTACTTTTCAAAAAGAAAAGCAAATTGGGGGGGAGGGAGAAAAGTACAACAGTGAATGAATGGAAATCCAAAGTCTCGTACACTTTCATTAAAATACGAATTAAAAAAAGAAAAAGAAGAATGTGTTTAGAATTCTCTCATAAAAGGTTAGCAAACACTACAGAATGTGTCATTTTAAAAGTGTTTTTAAGGCTACTGGAAAATCTAAAAACTTGAGATAAGAGAAAATTTTATGCACCACTGAATATAGCACTTAGTATCTATATCCAAACTGTATTACTTATCCTCTATTAAGAAAAATGTCACTATGTCAACCGTATCAAGCATCTACCTAATTTAACCCAAAGTATCCTGGGATTTAAAGACAGGTAAACTTATTTTTCGATTTCTTCAAACTTCGTTTCAATTCTACAGGATGCATCACCTTTGACCGATAAATATTGCGACTA